GCAGGCTGTTTGCTGCTTTCACAACTGCTCTTATTTTGGTAAAGACCACATATAAGAAATTTGTAAGCTATTTATCTACTCATGTCATCTGTTTGAGGCTACCAATTAATATTTCCCTGCCTASGAAGGATAAATTGATATTCTTTAAAATCTTATGAAGTTCAATTCTCTAATGTGTAGCAATTTAGGCACACTAAAATTCACAAGCAAAGCCTACAAGTGACCAGCCCATGTACATCTTGGTTGTGTCTGTTTTGTTGTTGGTAGAGTAGAAGAATGCAAGGTGTTCCCAAGCTTGGTCCTTGCTCTTAGATCCACTGTGAACTTTATAAGCAGTCTTGAAGAAATCATCTGGTGTTTCTATGATGAATTTATCAAGTAAGCTTACTAGCATTTATAAGATCTGTTTAAAATCATGTGAAGTAACATATAAATGAATACCAGTGACTAAATGCAATTGAAGGACGAAGCCAAGTGTCCCAGTGAAATAGATCATAGCCTGGGCCCTGCACCCTGAAATCTCTGGTTATAGACAACCGAGCAATCGATTTTCAAACAAATGTCATTGGCTCACAACTCCTAGCTATTACTTGAGCCTCTTCTCTATTAAATGTCACTGAATTTGATATCACTCCCAACTTGAAGTTTCCATCTCCCAGAGGAAGTACATGTAATTCCACTAAGGAACAGATATCACCTGTTTTTCAATGGCACTATTTACATGATCAAATCCCTTTTGCTGCAGGAAGTACTGAGGTTCACTCTCTGCAGTTATCTAACGTTCCATAAGAATTAGGCATGTGTGTCTGTGTGTGTGTCTCTGTGTGTATGTGTGTGTGTGTTTCTCTGTGTGTGTGTGTGTGTGAGAGAGAGAGAGAGAGAAAGAGAGAGAGGGAGGGAGGGGTAGAGAGAGGAGTAAGAGGGTAGGACTAAATGTGGGTATGGAAAAGAACAAAAGATAATGGAATCAAAACCTTAAAATCTACCCTGGTTATCAATACTTTGTGTGTGTGTGTGTGTGTGTATTCAATATCTGCTTACCAATAGGAGGGAGAGCCCTGTCAGTTGTTTAAAGACCATCTCATTATCTGGAAACTCCTAAGCCTGTCCCAGTCTCACCCCATTGTCTTGCAGCTTCTTTGCCCTTGGTTGGTGTTCTGAGCTTATGACGGTGGGATTAGGTAGCACCAGGGTATTACGGAGACAGGAATCAGGATGCAAAGATTCTTTTGTCTATCGTGAGGAAGGCAACCSGACGGCTTATAGGAGCAACGAGCAGCTCTGTGAGTATTTCTCAACTTCTGGGGAGTTTGAGGAGGATTTAACTGAAGGGCAATGGAGGGTTGATCTGAATCTAAAACAAACAAACAATCAAACAAAATGGAAGAAGAGAACATTCTGGACCTGTGAATCTGTACCGGGGCTGGGGCTGAAAATGGGAGAGAACATGAAGGAAATACACTGAAACCTCCTTGTACTGCTATGTGACAAGCTAATGGGCGAAACTTACAGGTCACTGCAAACCTTGATTACCGGATTCATTTGGAAGGAAACCAAAATGGACCCTCCTCTTTTTGAGGCTTCACARCAAACAGTTTTCTGGGAAAGGAGGGATCTTGGCCATTAAAAGACCACAGAGCAAACAGTGCTTTACTCCCAGGGTGTGCTGGCCAACTCGGCCCAGGCACCAAGAGGCCCCTGTGAGAGTGTGAGGATAAGGAGACAGGGAGCAGAGTGGGCACCAAGGTTGACCGTGGGGCAGCAGTGGCTTAGATTTCTTCCTTTAAGGCTAAAGTGCTTGTTTGCTCCATTCGAAGCAAAGTACTTGCTAGATTTTTTTTTWAAAAATATCTTTTGTTTGGGTCTTATTTGGTCCTCCATATTATTTGCTTTTTTKCCTGCCTCAGCGGGATCCTGGGTGACATCAAAAGCCCAAACCCCGCAGTGGAGTAAATAGTAGTGTCCCTTGTGCCTCCCTCTACACTCTTCTCTAGTTTATTAACAATGGAGTGGTCTCTCTGCCTGCATCTCTGCTGAGAAAAGGGAACTGGGAATTGGGATGGTAAAGCAGCATCAGAGGGTCTGTCTCAAGAACCTTCTGAAATTGCTTTTCTTTCACTGGAATTTGTGGAGGTACATCATCTATAACTTTAAACAGCTGAGCTTTGCTGCGTTGGGTCTAATGGACGCTAACCCCAGCCCTCTTCTAAGTGAGCTCTTGTATCCACTTCTTTCTGTAGAAGGTATYTATAATGTTCAAAAGGAGAAGGGCTAATGTTGAAGTAAAAACAGGGAAGTATTCTGCCTCACAAAGGAATGATGTACTTGACACTTTTGGAGGTCAAAAACATGAAACCTCCTGATTTAGCAAGAGTCGAGACTGTTGCTAGTTTTGAGATTATTCAGCTCCAGGATGCCCTTAGACATTTCAAGGGAAGATCTAAGTATTAGTAATCCCAAATCTAATATCAGTATTTAATACCTACTTACATTATCTCCCTTAATGTTCCCCATGACCTTAAAGGAAAGGTGTTATTTGATTCATTTTATAAATGGAATGAGGTCCAGAGAGGGATATGCAACTTGTCAAGGTCACATAACCAGTTTGTATTTTTTTAAAGAAGGAATTAAAACTGAATCTGTTTGATTTTAAAGGGCACAGTCTTCACACTGTATTATCCCAAAGGGTAATTTGACRGATCAAGGTCACCTTAAGTCTTCCTATTATCAAACTCTGGCTCTCAAGTAAGAGGATTCTAATTAGGGTCACCAGAAAACATATGGAATTCCCAGTTAAATTTGAATTCCAGATAAATAACGAATTATTTTCTTAGTATAACTATGAACATTGAAATACATGGGATACACTTTCATTAAAAACTGATTTGTTATTGACCTGAAATTCAGATTTAACTTGGGTGCCTTATATTTGTATCTGTAAAACCTGGCCATCCTGACCCTAATAGGTTCTCCAGATGAAGGAAAGGAAAACATGGTTTCTTAMTACTTTGAAAGAACTGAAGAGTCTAAAAATCTTGAGTCAGGAGAAGTTTTCTAGTTTTCCCTGTGGCTTTGGCAGAATCAGGATGTGTCAATTGCTGGTGGTGCTCTGAGCGTAATGCTGTCCTTGGCCACCCACCACCGAAACCCACGGTCCCAACCACACTTGGGAGAGGCACAAACCTTGCCTGTTGACAGGGCTAGAGAGGACCCACAGCACAAGAGTGAGACTTGGTGATCAGAGGAGCTGGCAGTGCATGTCCTAAAGCCACTGAGGGCTTTGTGAGGTGAAGTCCATCTAGTGCCTTCCCTGTGRTCCGATGGAAAAGTCTCAGGTCAGGATGCGAACACCCAAGGTCTACTTCTTTATTAATTTATTCAGTCACTTGACCAATACAATGTATATGGCACACTGTGGTGCATCTGGCTCTGTCATGGGTTCTGAGATGAMAAAAATGTTCTCAAATTGAAAAGGAGCCTTATGAAGCCTACTTCAGCAGGAGATGAAGACGAGATTYATAGCATGAGCAAGTGATTTAGGTCCTTGACCGAATTCACCATCCTAGCACCAGCTCACAGATTGGTCAATGCATTTCTGTTGAACAAATTGAGGATGACAACGAATTGARAAAATGACAACAGAAATTGAAAAAAAGAAAACAAGGACAAAAAGTCTTGGAGGCAAGGATAATAATTTAAACCTGATTTTCAAAGTCGTAAGTAGGGTAAATAGCGATGATTGGCTGGAGCCGAAGACTGTAAGGGAGAGCTGAGCTAAGAACGTTAGCACAAATCTGTGGCAGGCACAGTAAGGGATCCCATGCAAACAAAGTCCCCAAGCACTAGATTAGGGAAGAGGTTGGCTCAGGGTAAGAAGTTAAGGCTATTTGGAAGTTCTTTAGAGCTTTCCAGAATCTTCCTTCTCAGGATAAGTTTTGTTGATTATTGATTGTGAAAGAAATAGAGAAAGAAAAAAAATGTCATTCTAAAACTTAGCACTTTTATTTTAAAAATTTGTCTTTATGGATACTTTTAAAGGACAGTGTAACATGTCTGTAACCAAATTAACCTGGGAACACCATAGTGGACAGGTCCATGATATGGATACGAGAAAATGTTGAAGATATCTGAGAATCATGGCTGAAGTACCTAATGTCTGGGTATGGAGTTAAAATGCAAGCTTATTACTTAATCGCCTGCATTAAGTTCACTATTTGTGCCCTTGTCTGTTAGTTTCTCCTATCCAGATGGCTACAATGTCACCTCCCAGGACTAAGAGAAAAGTTTCTGGGTCACATGAGGATTAGATAAAATAAAGATATACAGGAACAGGGGCTGGGGTTGTGGCTCAGCAGTAGAGCACTCACCTAGCAGGTACGAGGCACTGAGTTAGATCCTCAGCACCACATAAAATTAAATAAAATAAAGGTATTGTGTCCAACTACAACTAAATATATATATATATATATATATATATATATATATATATATACACACACACATACAGGAAGAGAGCTCATTAAATATAGACATTTAGAATCAGGTTATTTTATAGCTGGCACGAAGAATTCATAAAGTTTGGAGCCCATGAAAGCTGTAATAGGCTACAGATATGGTAGATAGTCCATTTCCCTCCCTCGACAAATGATGGGACTGGTGGTAGTGGAGGGCAAGTTCACCATTATGATGAATTCACATAGAACTCGAGAAGCTCATCTCTCGGAACAGCATATACCTACATTTTTGAGATTGTAAGTCTCTTGGTTGTCAGTTTACACCCCAGTACATTGAATGCCTCCATTGAGTTACACCATATTTTCTTTAAAATCTCTTTAAACTATAAGCATCTCTCCCCTTTTGTGTTAATTTAGAATACTGAACTTCTTTTTCAAAGTGCTTGTCTTTCCCCRTTTAGACTGAAGGTCTAATAACAATCATTCTTGTTACTTGAACAGTCTTCCTTTTTTCCTCTCTCATTGTCCAGAGAGCCCCACAGGGAAACATCAGCCGACCAGGGGCAGTCAAAATGAGTGACAATACTACTTTGGCTCCTCCAGCTGCAAGCCAAGCTCCTGCCACCCCACGCAAAGGGCCTCCCAAGTTCAAGCAGAGACAGACTCGCCAATTCAAGAGCAAACCTCCTAAAAAGGGTGTGAAAGGGTAAGACCAAAAGGAAAAAGAAAGCCTACTGCTCCCACAAGACTACTCTGGTTTTGAGAAACTAAGGCTCCTAATATTGAACAGACTTACACAAATTTCCACCCCACCCTCTGTTTTCCTGTCTAACTCAGGCTTTGCTGAGTCATGTCTTTAGTTTTGTAACTCTTCCCCTCCCAGTTCGCAGGTCCATGGCCAAACTTATCATGTGAAATGGAGCCTCTCACAATAACCTTGGATTTGACCTTCCAGGATTTTCTCGACCACCCTTTGTTGACATTCCTTGTGCTTTAATACTGGAATACTGAACCACTGGTCATTTCCAAAAAAACACGATTTATTTTTATGTTTTACACTTTGATRTCTTCAGTTCTTTCTTTTCTCTCCCTCTCCTTGAAAAAATCCTGCCAACACACAGCTCAATTCAATACACCATTCATATTGCTTTTGAACTCTGAAACTTTATCCTTACTTTCATGTTTGCTCTATGATTAGTATTTAGCTATCCTAATTTGACTTTTCTTTCTTTCTTTCTTATTTTTTTTTTGGTATAGCATTTATTAATTTACATCTGTTCCCCAAGGCTAAAATCCCTCAGAGGAAATTTGTTTATTGTTTTCCTTAACTTTCTGTGACTAACATGATGTTGGGCACATAGCAGATGCTAAGTTAATGCTTGTGAATGTGAACAGGCAGATGAATTKAATCTAAGGGTCTTTTGTAAGTAGTGCTCTCTAATTTCAGTTTCCATTTTACAAAGTGCAGCTTGAGTAAGTTGTCCTCTTAGTTATTCCTTCTGGTTTTCAAATGTCTTAGACTAAAGTTTCTAGAGAAGAAAAAAAAATCTCCCTCCAGAGATACACTAAGTCCTACTGGAGTGACATTCACTTTGCTCCAGTTCAATGCGAATGAAAGAAATTTCTCAAATACAACTCTTAAGCTGCTTCTTCTTCTCCCTTGAGTCAAGAAATTGTCCATGTGCATGACTCCAGGATCCTTTTAATTGAACTCAGCTAAATGTTTCTTTTATTCTTTCCACTTAGGTTTGGAGATGACATTCCAGGCATGGAGGGACTAGGAACAGGTGAGCCACTCACATGTCTAAGTGAGAACCTTGCACTTAGAGTTTCTCCTCTTTACACACTTCAGGCCTCAAGGGGCAGTTGAGAGTTACAAGGAATACCTAAGGCAGCAGAACCTTCGAGGACATAGAAATGTGGGGATTTCATTTACCCTCCTAAGTAAATACATATGTGACCAGACACAAAAACCCTAAAAGAAATCAAGGAGACCCAAAGTTTAATGAATCCCCTTGTTTTATTAAAGAACCTTTGAAGGTATATAATGGGCAATTGTAGATTTTCATGGTAGAAAGATTCTCAGAGTTTGTCTAGCCCAACTTTACTTTTCAGGAGAGAAATCTGAGACAGAGGAATTAAGTGACAATGTGGGGCCACAGAGTGAGGTATTGGAAATAAGACAAACTTTCCACCCAACAAGGCAAACCACTTCTTAGCAACTTCCTCTTCTTGCACATCCTCTAGCACCAAGAACAGGACCCTGCATGCAGGAGGCATCCAATACAACTTTTTGAATTGGCTAGAATATTTTCATTCTCTGGATAATGATCGTAACTAATGTACCCCAGGAAGTGTATGTCATCCTATTTTAATAGGTTTTATTTCTTATAGAAGTTTTAGATTTAGAGAAAAATCAAGTAGAAAGTCCAAAGACTTCTTTTATTCCATTTTCCTCTTTCCCCTCATGCACAGTTCCCCTATTGTTAGCATCTTGCAGTGTGACACGAGTGTTATAGTTGATGAGCCGATACTGATACATTATTATCATATTAATCAGAATCTGGGGCTTACATAGCTTTGGGCTAATTCCTTGTATGATTTTAAGTGTTTTAATTAATACATAATAGTTGTGTACCCACCATTATTGTACCATAGTTTCACTGCCCTAAACAACCCCTGTGTTCCAACTGCTCATCTCTCTCTCCTTCCTCCCAAACTCCTGACAACCACAAATATTTTTATCTTACTTTTGCCTTTTCCAGGATGTCATATAGTTAGAATCTCACAGTATAAAGTTTTTTCACACTGGGTTCTTTMACTTATCAATATTCGATTAAGGTTCCTCCATGGCTTTATGTGGCTTGACAGCTCATTTCTTTTTATTGTTGAACAATATTCCATTGTATGAACATACCACAGTTTATTTAGCCTATTGAAGGACTTGAATTTTTCCAAGTGTACACAAGTCAAGCCATTGTCTATGCTCGAGCATGCACACACACACACACACACACACACACACACACACACACATATTTGTGTGCAGGTTTTTGTGTGGATATATGTTTTGAACTCATTCAACATGGTTGATAACTGGTGACACTCATAGAAATCAGTGTTCTTACCAGGAGATACTCAGTGTGTTTGCATTCTATATTCAGTGGCACTCCTGGGATCACAAATAGATTTTCTAGTCACTTTATAATGGTCATTTGTWGTTCTAGGTCAGTTGCTTCTGTATTTTGGCCAGATCAGCATATTTGCTTTGAGCTCTAGAAGACAGGCTTAAACTCCCAACACATTTGGAACAATGTAAACAGATTTATTCTGAAGGAAGATCTGAGGTCTTTGACCTGGTTCTAGTCCCATATATATAACTGGTTTGATTGATTGATTGATTGATTGATTGATTGCTAATTGTTTACTCTGGGTATAAGCCAGCTTCTTTGTAAGGGGGGATAGTAATATCTGAAACAAGCAGCTGAATTAGATGATGCCTTGAGATTGCCTGTCAGTATATGATTTGATATAAGTTTCAAAATGTAGAGGAACTGAAGAGTGAGTCAGAGAAACCCAAGGAACCCATTTGGTAGGAGTAAGACCACTGATTCTCAGACCCCGGGGATTTACAGTGCTTCCAATTCCCTTTTTAATCTTTGACCTGACTAGAATTCCACTTCTGCTTTCTCCATGGTAGTTGAAGTTTAGGGAGACTCAGTGAACCATACCCCACAGTGTACTCCAGTCCAAGCCATTGTCACCTTCCCAAAGAGGATACAGAATGAAACCAACAGAGATACCAGGGCAGTGGGGGCAGCAGAGGTGGGGACAATAATTGTGCAATTGATGGGATTCTTCCTGGGCTCTAGGGCCAGTCTGGATAGCTTCCCAGTTGCCAGGGGGTGATGAATAGGAGGGAGGAGAGAGGTGTCTCTGCCTGAAGGGTATCCTTTGCATGGAAGAGGCTCTCCTTCTTTATGTAGAAGAGGCTCTCTTACACACACACACACACACACACACACACGCACACACACACATACACACACACACACACTGGATGAGGTTGTTTTACATATTCTTCTTTCATCTCTCGCAGATATCACGGTGATTTGTCCATGGGAGGCGTTCAGCCACCTGGAACTGCATGAGCTTGCCCAGTTCGGGATTATCTAAAGCACCAGGGGTTCTGCCAACGCTCAGCAACATCTGCTGTAAAATTGACTGCTTTTGCTCTATTGTTCTGACAGAGGCTTAAAATTCAGTATTTAGAAGGAGTTTCTTGGACTTCTGTGGTCATTTTCCATCAGTTACCAAGAGTTCTCTTGGTGTCAGAATCTCTCTTGCAGCCCATAGCTCAGCTAGGAGTGAGATTGAAAACCTACTTTTGTTGGGTGATTTTAAACTTCACCACCCTTTCTATCAACTGATTAGAAGTCATCAATATTTCTGTACATTTTGTTTTATGTGTAAGTTTCTCAAATCTAATTTGCTCGGCATTCATTGTAATTAGTAGTAGAATTTTAAGATAGCATGTCATTCTTCGCCCCTTCTTATTTAAGAAAGGAGACATTTACCTTGAATCTTATGGTGAAATTGTACTAAATACTGCATACAAATACTTGATGCCCTGTTCTGAGTACCAATTAAACAAAGAAGGCACAGTCATGGGGAAATAGGCACACGATGCTTGTGAAAGAGTACAAGATTAAGATTCAAGTCATAGTTTTGCTTTGTCAATTTCACTTTCTTGGTCTATATTTTATTGAATTAGGTTATCCTGAGGTCCCATGTAGCTCTGAATTGTATAATTCTATGATAGTTGAAGACTGGACACTTAAACTCACAACTCTGACAACATGAGTCTACTTTTTAGTGCTCTGTTTTGGAAAAGTTCCTATTTATAGCCTCCCTTTGGTGGAATTATTCTGTCCAATGGCTTAAGGTGAGAGTCACAGCTTATTTGTATATGCATCGGCTGGATTTCTGTACATTTATAATAAATCACTTTTAAACCATTCGTTTAAAAGCTTTATATGCTATAGATGCAAAGTGCAGATAGTTGAACCCTCCAAATAAAATGAAGGTTTGCTTCACCTCTAAGGTTGTGTCAAATGGAATGTGCACATAGTTATCTTTTCCCAATACTTTCAAGGCGCTTGTGCAATTTGAATACTGTCTCTGTCTGACTTGGATGCCTTGGTACTAACAGTATGGATTTCTTCATTTCAGTTTCATAATCTGTGGTTAAAAAAAAAAAAGAGTAAATTAACTGAAAAAAAGAAGGGCGAAAGAGAGGATAGAGAGATTCTAGTCCTGAATCTACCAGTAAGTTGCACTGTAATTTTGGGCAAAGACTCCACCCTTTGGACCCTCCAGTTTGCTTGAATTTGATAATCTGAGGTTCACGGTAKCAATAAATTCTGAGAATTAGAGGAACTCAGTAGTCAAGAGAATTTACTTTTGCTATTGGTTTTATATTATTTATTTTACACAATTGACCGGAAGTACTTATTGACCAGAAAATTAGAAGTACAAAAGAAAAAGGAAGATATAAATTAAAAAGTGCAACAATGACATGCGCAGAGGCATAGTGGTAAGTGTGCTTCCTCCTTCAGCAGGAACTCCTGCCTCCACCCAGGCACCTATTTTCTGTCCCTCCTGCAAAAGCTGGCCCGACCCCTTCAAGTCAGCCGCGTTTCTTAGCCAATGACTTCAGTCACCACTTGTTCATCCCAGGCTGTCTTTTAGTCTAGGAGGTCTAGGTTCTTCTGTGGCTGGATGAGAGTCTCATCTGCATTTTGCTTACTTTGAAAATGTTTCTCTAAACGTGAAACAATAATGTTGAGAAAACAGAATGCACCCAAAGGAACATATCCATGCTTCTGTCTGACATGGATGCTTTGATACCAACGGTATGAGTTTCTTCATTTCAATTTTGTAAGTATATCAGAAGTTAATTCATCACAAAATTTTAAGTTTGGAGAATTTTAAAAAATCTTCAGACACCTTCCTGATAATAAGAATCATTGAGGATTGCTGGTGCAAAGCATACAAAATTTGGATCCAACTCAAGATTTCCTGTATAAAAATCTCCAAGGGAAGGATCCTGGAGTCAATTATTATTAATAAGGGTCCCAGGTGATTCTTTTATTTGTGTCATTTTGAAAACACAAGGAAGTCCTAGCCTACATTTTGCACATTAGAAATTAGATCATTCTGATCATGCTGCCTCTATTAGCCAATCAATTTGCTTCCCAAAAAAAATATGTGAGAAAAGTSACTAACGTTTAATGGATTCCAACTCGTCAACTGTTTTGTTGACTGATAACATGGAAATACCTCACGACTCCTTGGTAACTCAGTTAAATGCTTTTGCAGAGACTGTCAGAGAGTGTAGACTTTAAGTATTGAATTGACAGTTTCAAGAACGATGGGGCCAAATGTGCACCATTATTGCCAATTACCTGCTGCTGCCTCACTCAGATCCCCTCCCTCCAAAGTCCTGTCCTAAACTGCTTTCTCTGACTGGAGTAGGAGAGACCAGGGAGGGAGAGAGCTTTGGTCTGGGCAGGCGGAGCCAGGGGCCTGCCTTATCCTCCACCCCTTTCTTGTTGGTTGCTGTAGTTGGGTAGAAGTTGAGAATGAAGGTGCTTATGATTTAGGCCCTTCTGCCCATTCTAGAACCCAGCAGCGCTAAAGTCAGACAGAAAAAATTATGCAAGGAGGAAATGCTCCTCTCAGTACTCCACCCTAGGCAAATATACACAGTGGTTCAAATAACGGTCACTGTGTGTTGACTTCTATTGTGAGGGAAGGAAAACTCCCATCAACTGACGGGAGAAAGGAGAGATATTTTCTTAACAACTAAAGGAGTGAATGGAACACACACACACACACCACATACACATGCACAGAGGAATAATCAGTAAAAACAGTATTTAATACCAGAGAGAGTGGCAATCGCACTTGACCAAACAAAAGAAAAACCAACACGATGAGAGCTAAGAAAATATGACATAAAATTGTCTTAAAGGGAGAAACAGAAAAGGCTTTATGTTTTATTAAAGGCTAAAAGGCTTAAATGGAACCTAAAACCTGGGTATGTGTATAAACTAACAAAGTGTTTCCTGCAGATCTCAATGTTGCCCTACCATTTACCTTATGAGGGCATAGCTGGATTAGATGAAAACAGAAATTTAAAAGCAAAATTCATAAGCTGATTGTTAATCTCAGTACACATTTTCTTTTGGCAAAAACCATCAGGAGATGAGGGTTCTGCCTGGCTCTGCTACAAAGTGCTTATTAAATAATCAGATAATCAATGTCCCTTCTTTGGGCTGAAATATTTTGAGAATAAAAATAGATCTTGGACTAAATGATCTCCAATGTTCCTTTCAGCATAAACTTATAAAACACAAGTAATAAGACTAAATATATTTCAAATGCAACCACACTATTCTCTTTATGGACAGAAGTCCTAAAACACAGAGCCTCAATTTCCAGTTCCTTCCAGAATGAGTGTTTAATTGGTTTTTTCACATCTCTTCAAGAGCCAGGGTAAAGTCAAATTGTGTACAGTACTGCCACCTGCTGTGATGAAGGGGTACTTCAACACTCAGAAAGCTAACCATTTCAATTAGAAAACTTTTAAATCCTCAGAGCTAATTCTGAATTTGTCCCCATTTATTGGCCAATTAAGTCTATTGTACTACTGATTGGCTATGGAAAGGTCTTCTATACACAGGATACACATTAAGAGGCTATGAAATTGAACGTACTACAAGGTGAGTCTCACTTCCACCCAATGAACTGTGTAGTGTTTTGAAGTTATGACCATACAGAATTTCTAGTTAGTAAATTTCTTTTTTTTTTATTATTGGTTGTTCAAAACATTACAAAGCTCTTGGCATATCATATTTCATACATTTGATTCAAGTGGGTTATGAACTCCCATTTTTACCCCGTATACAGATTGCAGAATCACATTGGTTACACAGCCACGCTTTTACATATTGCCATACTAGTGACTGTTGTATTCTGCTACCTTTCCTATCCTCTACTATCCCCCCTCCCCTCCCATCTTCTCTCTCTACCCCATCTACTGTAATTCATTTCTCTCCCCTGGTTTTTTTTCCCTTTCCCCTCACATCCTCTTACATGTAATTTTGTATAACAATGAGGGTCTCCTTCCATTTCCATGCAATTTCCCTTCTCTCTCCCTTTCCCTCCCACCTCTCATCCCTGTTTAATGTTAATCTTTTTCTCATGCTCTTCTTCCCTGCTCTGTTCTTAGTTGCTCTCATAGCAGCACAATTCACAATAGCTAGACTGTGTAACCAACCTAGATGCCCTTCAATAGATGAATGGATAAAAAAAAATGTGGCATTTATACACAATGGAGTATTTCTCAGCACTAAAAAATGACAAAATCATGGCATTTGCAGGGAAATGGATGGCCCTAGAGCAGATTATGCTAAGTGAAGCTAGCCAATCCCTAAAAAACAAATGCCAAATGTCTTCTTTGATATAGTTAGTAAATTTCTATTATATGTAACAGTATATTTTGTAATAGATTATTATTTGCATATATTGAAGTTATAAAAATTTATAGGTTAGCTGCACTCTCAGCTGATTTAATGAGTTCTTAGATTATTTTAAATAATTTTTTATTTGTTAATTGGGGGGTTTCCAGATACACTCTGATACATCACTTTCAAAATAAGCAGTAATTGTCCAAAAGAAAAAAAATTATGTATTTTTTATTTTCTGATACTCTAAATTGAGATCATTTCCTCGCCCTGAATGATATTATAATGGAAAGTGTGATATTCAGACATGGGAGGTAAAAGAATAGGCAAAAGAAGCAAATAGTACACTTTTATCACATTAATTCAATAAACCTTTCAGGTAATATTTCTGAGGCCTATTATGGGTAAAAATCATAACTATAAAATATGGAAGCACTTGATAGATATTTGTTAAATGAATGAATAAATTATATGATTGCAAGATTGGTATAAACCAATAGAAGTAATACACTATTAACAGAGTATATAAAAATCACCTGCTTATGTCAATTCATATAGAAGAAGCATTTGAAATAATTGAATATCTCCTCCTGATAAGAATTCTCAATGAGGGCTGGGGATGTGGCTCAAGYGGTAGCGCGCTCGCCTGGCATGCGTGCGGCCCGGGTTCGATCCTCAGCACCACATACCAACAAAAGATGTTGTGTCTGCCGAG